CGCTTGCCAATGGGTTCCCGCCTTGCTAGAACACTGGGAAACTGACGCGCGTCGGAAATCAAAGGTAAATCAAAAATTACAAACAATGAAATCACCGCAAGCAACTATACTTGAAAGGACCCCCCAAAGGAATCTCACAAGGAAGCCCACGCAGAATCTCAAAGGAACCCTATTGGAAATTCAAAGTAATCTCAAAGGATCCCCACAGCAATCGCAAAGGGATCTCAGCGGCAGCTCAAACGAACCACGAAGGAATCTAAGGAATCTGGAGAACGCGGGCTCGCGTGGACATAAGCAAACCCTATTGCGACCGCAATCGTTTTTTTTTTTTTTTTTTTTTTTTTTTTTTTTTTTTTTTTTTTTTTTTTTTTTTTTTTTTTTTTTTTTTTTTTTTTCAGGGGGTCCTATGGGAGAGTCCACGGAGGGATATCGCAGACGGATTCCGCGACCCCCCCCGCGATATGTTAGCACATTTATTGAACATAAAATAATGGACAGGCACTGGAGGTCGATGTGATGCTCCCTTCAGGGATTGTCCACGCATGAAATCAAAGGAACCAATGGAAGTTCAAAGCAATCTCAAAGGAACCCAACAGAAATCGCAAAGGGATCTCAGCGGCAGTTCAAACGAACCACGAAGGAATCTAAGGAATCTGGAGAACGCGGGCTCGCGTGGCCATAAGCAAACCCTATTGCGACCGCACTAGGGAAATTGATTACCTCAGGGGATCCTACGGGAGAGTCCACGGAGAGATATCGCAGACGGATTCCGCGAACCCCCCCGCGATATGTTAGCACATTTGTTGAAAATAAAATAATCCACAGGCCCCGGATGTCGATGTGATGCTCCCTTAAGCAATGGGGCATCAAAGGGATATGACCGGAACCTCAAGGGACCCCCAGAATAACATCAAAGGAACACCAGAGGAGTCTCAAAGGAGTCCCAAAATAATCACAATGGAAACGGCAAGGAATCTCAAAAGAAGCCAATCGGAGTATCAAAAGAATCTCTGCGGAATCTCACAGAAACGCACAGAATCACAGGAAGCGACTCTGGGCAGGTGTGCCTTGTCGCTGGGCTCTGGACTACAAGGGGACCGGGCATTCAGAGGCTTGTGGAGGCCTTTCTGGATGCCTCCTGGGAACCTCTGGGGACCTCCCCTCCGCGGACCTCTGGTGACCTGCGGGGGATATCGCTTCCGCCCCGGCCCAGGTGCCGGAAGCGTTATAATTTCCTCTGATGAGGGGGATGGGGGGGGGGAGGGGGGTTTACTGATTGCTTCCCAGGGTTAAGAACCCTTCTAGGCAGAGCCTAGGTAGGGAAAAACAAGACACAGCCCGAGTCCAGCAAAACAGCGTTTAGGTCCAGCCCTAACGTCGACCCCCAGAAAATCTAGACCCCTTCTCCGGGACCGGCTTTTCGTCCCGTGTCGTTTTTGGACGGTCCCGAGGGGCATTGTAACATATTTCGTCGGTTCGACGAACAGATCAATGTTAGGGTACATGAATGTTGCAGTCGATCCCCGACTCGAACCTTCCTGGGGACCAGCTCTTATCATCAGTCGTTTCTTGGCGGTCCCGGGGCCCGATATGGGCACCGTGTGCCCACAGTTGTCAAAACCCGTCCGCGGTGATTTGCCCTCGATGCGAGGATGTTCGGCGCGCAGTCGCCAGAGTCCTCCCGTCGTGGCTTCCTCACGGCGCAATGCCTCGTTCTGACGCCACAGCGCCATCGCACGGCCAAGCCAACTGCGCGGTTGGCACATGCGCGGCCCAGCGAACGCTCGAGAGGTCCCAGGCGGATGACTCGGGGAGGGAGAGGAGGCAGTTTCAGTCGAGCCGCGCCGCACGGCGCACCGGACAAAACCGCACTTGGCCAGCTGCGGCAGCCCTCGTGCGGAACGGCGCGACGTGGTCGGGGCACCAGCGGGGCAGGAGGGTCGGGGGCGACCACCCCGACCTCCCAGAGTGTTAAAGAACAGCACTCCAGAATTGTAGACCCATCGGACAGACACAAGCCCTGCGTCCAAGTGGACGCGTTGGCAGGAAAAGAGGCGTGCCCAAATAGCCACTCGAAACGCTCGAAGCACAGAGGTGTGACCAAACGCCACATGAAGCATGGAGATCTGACCAAACGCCATACCTGAGGGTGACGGCGGTTGATGATACTCATCTGGACTGCCGAAAACCTCGACTGGGACGTAGATGTCGGGGCCCTGGTGCTATCTTTCAGCCCGACGGGGAGCGCCCAGGAGGGGGGGGTCGCAGAGCATGGCAAGGTGCACGTGCACGGACGCAGGGGCCAATGGGGAGGTACCGAAAGGAGAGGAAGATTGGCGGCGCGCACAAAGCCTACCGTACACTCTGCGAGAAAATCAATTCTGGGGCAACTCGCCATCGCTCGGACGTCCGTTCATTCCCCGTAAACGTTTACAAAAGTTTCATGGATTAAGGGCGTGTGGTTTTCAAAATGTGCCTCTCGCCTTAGCGCCGCGCACATTCGTTTTAACATTTGCTAAGGGTTTCACGGATTGAGGGCGGGTCGTTTTCAAAATGTGGCTCTCGCCTGAGCGCCGCGCACATTCGTTTAAAACATTTGCAAGAGTTTCACTGATTCCCATGATCAACGCACCAGAAATGGCGTTATGGAAGGATTCCGGACTATGCGGGTGCAACAGTTATGTTGATTCGCGGTGTTGAAATCCCAAAATGGCGTTATGGCACAATTCCGGATCGTCAAAACGCAGCAGTCGGGTTGAGACGTGGCGTTGAAATCCCGAGAACAATGTTTTGGCATGCTTCAGGATCTTCAAACGGTCGTCTTCCAACGAGTCAGTTCCCTCAAATGGAAACGAGCCGTTGTAGGGGCCTATGAAGAGGGAGCTTGGAGGGAGGGTTAATTCCAACATCGTTGATGACTCTTGGGTTTACACTGGTCCTCCTCCTCCTCCTCCTCCTCCTCTTCCTCCTCCTCCCTCTCTTCCTCATCCGGCTATTCCTCCTAGTCCCTCCTCCGCACCCCACCCACCCTCCCCCTGCCGTTCCTCCTCCGATTCCTCCGCTATCCTCCCTCTCTTGGGGTATGACGTCTTCCCCAACCCCTGATTCCACTGCGTGCTCCTCCGAATCCCTGATCAGGGCAACTCGCAGGGGCATCATTTCTGGATGGGCCGGTGGGGTTCCGCGAGGCATCTAGAATCTAATGAAATATTAGTAAGAAGAATACTCATACTAACAAGAAGGAGGAACAGGATGAGGAGAAAACGAAAACACATACAATAATCCGCTGACCCCCGCTTGCCGGAGATGAGAGGGCGTGTGAGATGATTGGCTGATCCCCCTCCCCCTTCCCCCTCCCCCAGGGCCCAACATCGATTTCAAGGGGTGGGTGGGTGGCTGGGGGGGCGGAGGTATCTTGGCTGCCCCGGCGCACCCCCGGGGACTCTGGAGCTCCCAAATCTGCCATCCGTGACCTCGAAGACGTTCGCAGACGGTCCCTACTGGCGGAGCGATTGGCCCAAGACGCCTACGATGGCTCGAGGACACCCCAAAACGCCTTCGAGACGCCCCAAAAGCCTTCCCAGGGCCCCGACGGGCAAACATCAATGCGTTTCTTGAGGTATTTGTTTTGTTTCTGGGGTTATGGTCTTCTCGAATTTCCGACGCTCCAAAACGTCCCAGCGTGCCCCGTGGACCGCCCCACAACTGCCCAAGAGGCCTCTGCGAGGGCCCGAGGGCGGCCCAAGAGGGTTCCAAAACGGTCCAAAGAGGGGCCCCAAGACGGCCAAACATTGCCCCACGAGGGCCCCGAAAAAAGGCAAAGAGGAAGAACACGCACCGAACATCCGACATTTCCGGCCCAAGAGGCCCCCAAAGGCCCCAAGAAGCCCCCAAACGGCCCAAAAGAGGCCCCGAACAAGCTCCACGAGGCACCAAAGAGGCCCCTAAGGCGACCGCCAGCACGCTTCAAAGCTGCCTCCCCAAAAAGCTCCGCCAGGCCCCCAAGCAGTTCCCAATACGCCCACAAGAATGCCCACACAGTTCCCAAGACGTCCACGACGCCGCAGCCGCGGACTCCACGCCTCGTCTGGGCGCCGGCGGAATGGCGTAAGTTTCTGGAAGAATAACAACAAGACGAAGAGGGGGCCAGAAGATCCAGGGCGACTCCATAGCCCCAGCTATGCTACCCCCCAATAGGCCCCCCCCCTCGTGGACGCCCCTTCGGTGGCAACTCATGGGAGCCTCCCATACCATCTTGTCGACACTTGCGAGTCTACGCAAATCCACCCTAGTCGACAATGCATAGATCCATACATACATAGATACATAGATACATAGATACATACATACATACATACATACACACACACATACATACATACATACATACATACATACATACATACATACATACACATACATACATACATACACATACATACATACACATACATACATACACACACATACATACATACATACACACATACATGCATGCATGCATGCATACATTACATGCATACAAACATACATACATACGTACGTACGTACGTACATACATACATACATATATGCACACAAGCATACATACATACCTGCATGCATACATACCTTCATTCATTCATACATACATATACATACAAGCATACATACATACAAACATACATACATGCATACATACATACACACATACACAAATACATACATACACACAGACAGACAGACAGACAGACAGACAGACAGACAGACAGACAGACAGACAGACAGACAGGCAGAGAGACATACATACATACATACATACATATCATTATATATGTATGTTCCGACGCTAAGCGACGCGAGTTCGGCACATCTCATCGCCCCCCAGACGGTTGATTCTCGGCGCGACGCGACGCAAAATATGTGCGACCGAACGCCCCCGATAGAGAGAGAGAGAGAGGGACAAAAAAAAGAGAGAAAGAGCGAGAGAGAGAGAGAGAGCAAACAAAAAAGAGCGCGGC